CTCCTCTGTATAGTGATATTTTGCTTCACAAGACTAGGGAAATTTTTAAATACATTTTCTGTGCCTTTAGCTTGTACCTCCTCCTTCTTTGCCTATGGTTTGTTTGTTTGGTCTTTTATTGATGTTCAAAGTTATTATGCATTGTTTGAGCTTTCATACTTTTTCCCTTACTATCTGGATGTTCTAGTTCATCTACCTTTTATTTAAGCTCTGATAGTTTATTTTTAAAAGGTGTATTGGTAAGTCAGAAGATTTTTTTGTTTTTCACCAGAAGCTGATTGGACCTCAGGTCTTCCTGCTTGTTTAGCTACTTCTTCACTTAGTTGGTGCTCTGCCACTTGAGCTGTGCCTCCAGCCTGGCTTCTCACTGATTGAATCCACTGATGATAGTTCTTCCTGCCTGGCAATCTAAATTTGGAGAGGAAAAAAAAAGACATTTTGTCAGACCTCATATATCAGAAAAATATTAAAAGGAAAATAATCTCATATTTCCAGTGCTGAGAAAATGTTCTTCTACTGTATTCTATTCCATTTCAGAATTTTAAAAGTTTTATCCTCAGCCATTTTGAGTTGTTCCATTGACATATTTTCCCCTTTGCTCATTTTGTTGAAGTGAGATGGTTGTATGTTTTTAGTGTTTTGTTAGGTGTTGGTGACTCAGATGTGGGTGGGTAGGAAATCTCGCTGGCCTTGTTCCCTGTATGTGCAGGACGAGTCTGGTTGACTGCTTTTTCCTATTAATACTAAAATCTTACATAATACCACTTTTTGAGACTGATGTTTTTTTTTATCAATACTCCTCCTAACATTACGTTTGATATGTGTGCCAGTGTTCCTTTACAGAGATTTGGCATAATTTGGTATGTGCTTATCATTGTTTGGCATCTTTATTCCTTTTTTTTGCTACTGTACCTACAACTTCTGTAAGAAAAGTTGCTGTTTCCTGCAGCTCTTTCTATATGACAGTCTGAGAAAGGCTGCACGTGCTCCCATAGGTTGTGTTTACCTAGTTAAAATTCCTATACAATTAAAAAAATTAGTACTGGAGTTCAAACTCGGGGCTCTGTACTTGCTGGAGAGATACCCTACTGCAGAGCTACACTTCCAGACTCTTTCAGTGCTGGATGATCTTAGGATAGGGTCTCTCTTCCTTTCTAGACCAGAGCCCAGGCTTCAGACCACAGGATGCTACTACTTGAGGCTTCCCCCGGTAGCTGGTATGACACACGCATGCACTGCTTCTACCCAGCTTCTTCCGTGGAGATGGAGTCGCACAGCCTTTGCTGGCCTGGGATCCTGATCTTAAACCTCTCAGCCTCCCCCATAGCTGGGGATGACACGCAGGTGCCAGGTGCCTGCTGGGGGAGGAGAAGGAGTCTCAGGAACTTTTGTTTCCCAGCTGGCCTCAAACCCTGATCTTCCATTCTCAGTGTCTGCAGGAGCTAGGGTTACAGGTGTGAGTCACTAGCATCTGGCCACGTTTGTTTTCATAGTGTCTTCCCTGGCAACGCCTGCCTGCCAGGTGACATCATCTTTCAGCTTGTGGTGACTCAAAGGTAGACGGTTCCCAGGGCACACCTTGCTGGACCAATCGCCCGGCACAGTGGCCATCTGCCTGTGCTCACGCTGTTCCCTGTTGATGTTTCCCGTCGAGGCGCCGTCCATTCTTCAGCGCTTCTTAAAACCCGCATCCAATTCAAAACAGGATTAGAGAAGCCATCCTCCACCAAGCCGATGACATTGGTTTAATGTTTTCCATACTGGGAGGAAAGTGAGGACTCAGCCACACGCATGAAGAGGTAGCACTTTGGTATAATATTTGGCCTACTGATCTGAGATACTCTACGAGTATTCTAATGTTTGAATTTTTTTTCCTGGAGTAGGTTTTTGCTATACAGCCTAGGCCGGCTATATAGCATAATCATCCTGGGTGTATTCTAATATTTGAATTTTTTTTCCTGGAGTAGGTTTTTGCTATACAGCCTAGGCCGGCTATATAGCATAATCATGACCTTGGGTGCTGGGATTACAAGCAAGTACCACCAGGCCTGACTCTATATTAGTTATCACAAGCCATCTAGAGATCAGTTCTGGTATAATGGATGATGTGTGATGGTCATATACAAATACAATGCCATTTTATTAAGTGTGAGGGAATTGAGAATCCCTGAGTTTTGGTATCCAGGGTGGGCCTGGCACAATCCACTGTGAATATTGAAGGGTGAATTCAGACAAAAGAGTACAGTACCATGAACCACAAGAGGTTTGGGTCATCCAATAAGTTCAAGTGTGGCCCTGAGAAAGCCACTCACTAACTGAACCACCGTCTCCTCTGTGGTAGAAGAGAGCAAAAACAAAAGAAACGGCTTCCCTCCCTGCCTCATGAGATTGACTAGGGTTGTCATTGTTGGGATTTGTGATTCAAGTGGAAGTATGCCTGCCTACCAGACGTGAAGCCCGGATTTCAAACCTCAAGACTGTCAACAACAACCACCACCAAGAACCCATGACAGCTATTTGTGAAAGCACTCTGAAAGAATTAAGTCTGTACAAAGGTCATCCCTTTCTTATTTTAGGAAGGTACGTGGTATTCTGGAAGCAGGAGTGAATGTAGGAACACTCCCTAACACAGGGTAGCCATGCAGTAACTTGACTTTCTTCTCCTCCTCTCCCTCCCATGAGGACTGCTTTCAGGTAGGCAAATGCACTGGTCATAGACAGAGTGAAATAGATGGGTGCTGGGGAATCTTCCACCTCTGAGATCATCTGCGCTGTGTACCAGTCTGTCTGGTCATGGACTTCTGCAGTGCTTTTTGGAATCTCATGTGAAACCACAACAATTCATTACAAACCCTAATTGTGCAAGTAGGAGTCCCGGGCTGTCAGCCGGCAAAGCTGGGGATTAGAGTACTCCTGGTCTGGCTGGCAACGTTTTGTCTGCGGCGCTGTTTACCTTTGTGTTTGCTGTGCTTTGTGACTCCTGTTCAAGTTCTTACTTTTGGTGTTTAGATATGAGAGTTCAAGTTATAAAGGACTTTTTCCCCCTTCAAAATTATGCTATAACATTGCTCGTGTGTGTGTGTGTGTGTGTGTGTGTGTGTGTGTGTGTGTGTGTGTGTGTGTTTCAGTTAGGCAAATGCTTGTTTCTGAGGGGGACAATGCATCCCAGCATAACAGACACATGCACTCTCCCTCTGTCTTTAAAGTTAAATTGTCAACAACGGTGAGAGTTGTTTGGTGGGACCTGGAACTTTGGAATACTCCGTGTAAAGCTGAATATGCCAGAGTTGCCTGTTCTTCTCTAGGGAGCAAGCACTATCCAAGTTCTCAGCCCTTAGGCTGAGCAAGCAAGCAGTGACCCTCTAACAGTTGTCTGATTTCTAGCTGCTAGTGCACTGAGTGGTAATGAAAGGCTCCAGTTTTGTTTGTTATATGCACTTATGTGTTAGTATCTTAATACCTTCTGCTGGTCTGAAAATCAGATAAGAGAGAATAGGAATGTTTAATCCAGGTTTGGTGACTGGACACTTTATCTCTTTATCTCTTTGTGAATCTTGACATTGTACCATTATGTTTTTCTTTTTCATAAATAAGGGAGTGGGAAAAGGTATTCCTTTGTGTGTGTGTGTGTGTGTGAGTCCTGGGGTTTGAAGTCAGAGTATGGGCTTTGTCCCTCAGCTTTTATGCTTACAGCCAGCATTCTACCACTTGAGCCATAACTCCACTTCTGGTTCTTTGGTTAATGAAAGTCTCATGGACTTTGCTGTCCGGGTTGGCTACGAACCACCATCCACAGATCTCAGCCTCCTGAATAGCTAGGATTATAGGCGTGAGTTATCAGAGTCTGGCTGTTCCTTAGTATTTTAGTAAAAAAAAAAGATGTAGCATGTTCTCCTTGGCATATTTCAACTTGTGGAATTTCAGCGCTAGTATAAGGATTTCTTTGGATGTCAGTCACACCAAATGACTTTCAATTTCATAATTTGTTTAAGGTTGTGTATTCTTTAGAGATAAGCCTTTTCTGACATGGAACAGATGTTTGTGAAGTTTTTGGCTTAGGCTCCATGAAGCTACCTTTCAAACATTTGCTTAGGAAGCGAGAGTTATATTCCAGCCAGCCCTTGCTACCATGCTCACTGGACGCAGGGGAGTCAGAAGAAGGTGGTGGGGGTTGTAGTCAAACAGAGCCACTCCACTGCTTCCCACGGCACCATTTTTCTTCTTCTAACCTTTCTGCCTTCAGAGAACAGGAACCAGTGCTAGTAGCTGTCCAATGTCAAAAAACAATCCCTTTTTCCCATCTCCTCTTCCTCCTTTCCTCTTTCTTTATTGAGCGTATTTTGTGTCTACCAGATGTTCTAGGAATGTTTTAAGACGTGGTTTAGTTTTGGAACAGCAGATCAGCTCTGAAGTTGCTTTCTACCCAAGAACAGTGGATCAGCTCTGAAGTTATTCCCTCCCTATGCAAATCCAGCCCCAGCCAGAAGGCTGAGAGAAGGAAAACAGGACATTCCCAGTGCTGCCATTCCTGCCAAAGAAACCTGTTACCCATGGGAGCCGCAGCGCATGTGCTACAGCCACCTACACGATTCTCAGCCTTACCTAAAACCCGTGGCGGCCGCCATGCCTGCTTCCTCGGCTCAGGCTGTTATTGTGACAGCCTGGTAGGCAAGGTGAATCTGCCAAGCAGCAGGTTCACTTGGAGGAAGTCCCACACTAGGAGTGACGGACATTCAAGCCAGGAGCAGAGGGGGAGGCATGGCCTGGACCCGGGGCCTCCAGTGTGGGCCAGGAGTGTACCCCGGGGAGCGCCTGGTAAAGTGGATGGCAAATTGAGGGACACTGCCTTTGGAGCAGATGGCTCTGAATGAAGGTAGACTCCCAGGCGGGCTGGGTCTGCCGTGGCCTGATGCCGTCCCTATCCAAGCTTCAGATTGCAAGCATTTTCCTTTCGTTGATTGTCTTTTAGAGACGCGAGCACCTCAGTGGTGAGGAAGACGATGAGCCCCGCCATTCTGCTGTCCTGCCTGCTGTGTCTTCTGCCCATCGAGTCCTGCAGGACATTATGCCAGGTGAGAAGAGGGGCCGGAGGAGAGGGGGTGGGCGGAGCAGGGATAGCAGGATCTATCGCTTAACCAGCGGTGTTGCCTGGAAGCCGAAGGGAAGGAGAATGTGGCCAGGAGAGTGTACAACTGCGGGCTGAACAACAACAGCAAACAGACAAGCAAAAACAATTTCAGGAAAAAGCTATCAACTACTTTCCCATCACCCCCCCTCCCTTATTCAGTTATACGTCATTAAGTTCGGAGACCCTACTGGTGCTGAACTGATTTAAGGCAATTACCTTCCCTTCTGCCTCCCGTATCCTCAGGTAGTGAAGCTTTTCGTTGCTCATAACAGGGATAATGTTATTTACTTCAAATGTAGATATGGCCAAGGTGCCGGTGGCTCATACCTGTAATCCTGGCTACTCAGGAGGCTGAGATCTGAGGATCATAGTTTGAAGCCAGCCTAGGCAGGAAAGTCCGTGAGTCTCTTGTCTCCAACAAACTACTCAGAAAAAGCTGGAAGTGATGTTGTGGCTCAAGTAGTAGAGTGCTCGCCTTGAGCAAAAAGAAGCTCAGGAGCAGTACCCAGGCCTCAAGTTCAAGTCCACGACCAGCACACACACACACACACACACACACACACACACACACACACACACACGTAGAGGTAGTGAGGTAGTGAGGGTAACCATGGAGACGGGTATGTTAAAGGCATTTCGTGGGCAGTACTGAAAATGGTGTGGCACAATGAAGCTGCCTCCCACCCAAAATGCAAACGTTCATTGAGGATCCTGTTTGTGAACACTTGGAATGGACTGGAAGGAGTAATGGGGGCCTTGGAGATGATCTATGGTTAAGCAAAGTTGAATTGGGGTGGAGTTGGTTGCATGTGGCAATGAGCCTCATGGCTCGTTCTAGAATATCCTTTCTCACACTGTACGTCTTTTAGCTTCTCTCTTAAGTCATGTATGTAAAATGGATTGTGGGGGAATAGTGGCAGAGAGAGAGAGAGACAGAGACAGAGAGAGACAGAGAGACAGAGAGAGAGAGCAGGAGAGAGAGGATATAGAAGTATTTTGAACCAGGTGTCTGTGGCTCACACCTATAATCCTAACTGCTCAGGGTGCTGAGATCTGAGGATTGCTGTTAAAAGTGTCAAGGCAGGAAAGTCCATGAGACTCTATCCCGAATTAACTACCCAACAAAGAAGAAGCAGAACTGTAACTCAAGTGGTAGAGCACTAGCCTCGACCAAAATAAACTCAGGTTCAGCACCCAGGCTTTGAGTTCCAGCCCCAGGACTGGAACCAAAAAGCATTTTGGGCATCTTTAGAAGGGAGTATTAGTATCAGACCACAAGATTGAGGAGGGAGCTTTGTGGCTAACTGGTGAAGCTCCGCTCCCTACTTTGTGATAGAGAGACTGGGCTGGTGTTCACAGGACATACCTGATTAGTAAATTACAGGCCAGTGCGAGAGCCCGCCTGTCTCTAGATTCTCAGCTTCTTGCTTTTCTCATTTTGCTATTTTCCTTTCTTTCTTTCTTCCTTCCTTCCTTCCTCCCCCCCCCCTCTCTCTCTCTCTTTTTTCCTTTCTTTTTTTGTCAGTCATGGGGCTTGAACATTGGGCATGGGCACTGTCCCTGAGCTCTTCGGCTCAAAGCTAGTGTTCTACCACTTGAGCCACTGTGCCACTTCTGGTTTTCTGGTGGTTAATTGGAGATAAGAGTCTCATGGACTTTCCAGCCCAGGCTGGCTTTGAACTTCGATCCTCAGATCTCAGCCTCCTAAGTAGCTAGGATGACAGGTGTGAGGCACCGGCGCCTGGCTGGGAGTCCTTTTCTTAAGTTTTCCAAATAATGTTTTCTTTGTCTACCAAGTAGTTTGCCTTTGGCCGGGAATATTCTCATAGCTCCCCTTCTCCACTAATGCAGAGATATCTGGTTTGGGGGGAAGATAGAACCCTCAGGAGAGACATTGTACCAGAGACATCCCAACCTCACATCACAGTTCAGTGCTGTTGTTCCTTCCCATTCTATCTATTGTTTTTTTGTCACCTACATTTTTTTCTACACGAGAGATGTGGACTCAGACTGTGCCTGAGAAGGCTGGGTTTGTTTTTCTTGATTTCCGGGGAATCTCACCTTACCTGAAAGATTCCATCCTTCCTTTCCTTGGCACTTTGTACAAGCTTGCTGAAGCCGCACTGCTGGCACAGCCCTTCTCCTGACTCCCTACGCACCAGGCAACCCAGCAGGTTGAGCGGGTTACTGGTTTGTCATTCTCTTTATTCACAAAACAAGGCCATTGGTGTCCGAAGCTAAAGGGGCCCGATCTGGATGTCACCCTAGAGATGTCCAGTAGAATCAAATATATGCTTTGGGAAATTAGCTGGGAAGAAGTGAATCAGGTTCTTCACTTACAGCAGTTTTCCCATAATATATCAATAAGACACATGGCCTCCTGCATGTGTGCCTAATTAATCTGTTGTTGGAGTTTGTTTAATGGGCCCAGAATAATGGAAAGTTGACTTTTAATCACATTTGTCATAGTGAATTAGTAAAAAGGCATGGCCCTATCAGGATGTGTTGGAGTACTTTGAGGAAGATTGTATTTCCTTCCACACTATAGACCGAGTTCTAAGCTTATAGAAGGTTCCGGCATGTCCTTCACATTACTCATTTCTCATCTGTAAAGTAAAGGAGTTGGACGTATAGAACTCTATAAAAATATTATTTTAGCTTTCTTGTTTAGTGGAAGAACTTTTAACTCTCCAGTTTTATATCATAAGGTTTTCTTTTCTTGACTGTGAAATGAAAGATTATTGTACATCAGTCATTTCAAGGATATTCTGTTCCATGAATCCTCAATAAAACCTTCTTGAACTTTGGGGAGACCAATGCTCTCTTCCGAGAGAGAGAGGGGGGGGAGGGGAGGGGGTAGAGGGAGAAGGAGAGAGAGAGGGAGGGAGGGATGGGGGAGGGGGACAGAGAAGGAGAGGGAGGGGGAGGGCAGGTGAAGGGAACGTAGGATCATGGAACCGTATTTCATATTGTGGCTTTTGGAAGCCAAGGTGGGACCACTGGTGAATCGATCAGGATTGTTGGTGACTAATTTGAACATGTTGATGATTGATTTTGATATGAATGTTGTTGTTCTTTTTCTAGGCCACCAGCAAAAGCAAAGAGAAGGTGCCTAACAGGCCACACGGTATGTTGGCAACCATTGATACCCGCACAGCCAGGTCTCACTGCTGTGGCTGTGAGGCCTGCTCATTCGCATCCCGCTGACCCATGATGTAGCAGAGACGCCCCCTTAAGGGCTTGCCTTTGCCCTTTTTTCCTGACACCGAATTGTGTCTTTGGCTCCGGCCTTGCCCCTCTCGGCTGCTAGCATCCTCTGCTCCATCCTGACCGGAGACTTCCTTGCCGTAACTCTTTTATGTTGAGTGAAATCACACCAGGGCAGTGGTTGGAATCAGTCTCTGAGAAAGTTTTGGAGCTGACGGCTCTCTAGAGACCATTAAGAACAATAGAGCCAGAGGTTCTAGAGCGGATCTAGAACACAGGCTGCGGGCCTGCGTGAGACACACTGAATCGAGCTGTGGAAATCTTTCCACTCCCTTTCGCCAGGGCGGTCTGCTTTTCTCTGTGTCACACCCTGCAGCTCAGAATAAGACTGTGTTGGACGGAGGAGGATGCTGAAATGCCTGCTGTCTAGAGTTCAGACTTCCCCTTCTGACACGGATGACTTTTGTTTTCTCAGTTGCGTGTGATGGAATCTGTGTGGAGGAAAATGCCCACTGCAGTCAGCTTTGCCCTCCAGGGATTGAGGGAAATATGGGGTTTGTATGCAGGACAAAGACATGGCACAAAATCACAGATACCTGCCGGACCCTTAATGCCTTCAACATCTTTGAGGTAACATCCATTCCCTCACAACATGGATTCTTATGGGGGCTTTGTGTGCAGAGCAGCCATGCAAATTGTCCTGAATTAAGGAGAGGTGAACATGAGGTTGAAAACACAGATACCTAACATCCTCACGCTTCTAACTGTGGGCCTCTAAGAGTTTCTACTTCTGTTCCCCACACCCTTTCACGACATGGAGGAATTTGATATTATATTTAGGTTATAGCTAGGAGAGATACTCAGAGTTGTCACAATCAACTTCTTTACTTCATTTTAGGCTCTTTAATACCCCCAAATTGATGTGTGTGTGTCTCTGAGTGTGAGTGCACGTGCACACGCATGTGCCAGTACTGGGGTTGGAACTCAGGGCCTAGGCACAGTCCCTTACCTTATTCATTCAAGGCTGGTACTTTATCACTTGAGCTACTGCTCCACTTCTGGTTTTTTTGCTTGTTAATCGGAGATAAGAATCTCAATAACTTTTGTGCTATGGATTGGTTTCAAACTATGATCATCAGATCTCAGCCTTCTAAGTAGCTATGATTACAAGCGTGAGCCACTGATGCCTGGCTTTCATTCTCTGAATTGTTGATACTGAATTGTTGATAATTTGAGTCCCGTACCAGAACTAGCACATCAAAGTCTATATCCTATCAGGATATCCTATTGATTTCTGTTCTCACTAAAACAAGAAAGGCAAGCTGATCTAAAGGGTAGGATTAAATTGTCACAAATATGCTCATCAAACTATAATATTTTTATACATACTCAAGCAATTACATATGTATTGAATTAAATTCTAATAAAACCAGGGCAATTGCTCTTTCATTCCCATTTGGCTTCTTTTTCTGCTTTTGGCATGGACTGACTTTTTCAGGTTTAGCTCTTGTTTTCCTTTGCAGGAGTCTGTTTGGCCTTTCTTTTGTTTTAACATTCTCATCCTGTTTTTGTTTTGTGTGTGTGTGTGTGTGTGTGTGTGTGTGTGTGCATGGCTCTGAGGGTATTTAATATTTTTATACCAGAAATCTATCACATAATTTCAAAATACTGACCAGCTCTAACTAACACTCTGGGAATCTGGAAGCATGCACATGTAATGTGTCTTATTGCTTAAATGCTCTAAAGCTAGCTTTCAAAATGCTAAATAAAGTGTATTCTGTCTGCTGTGGACCCTAGATTTCATTCTGTTCTTCTGGTGTAGGGGATGGCCAAGACAAGTACACATAACCTTGACAAAAGTTTCCGGGGGGCTACCTCAGAGGCCTAGGGCTGAGCATGCCCCCAGGGGGTGACATGCCCACCATCCACCCAGGGACAGACTTCCTTCAGGCCTGGGAAGGGGCTTGGGTGTTGTGTAGGGAATTCATGTGTCCCTGCATAAGACAGACATGCACTATGGAGACACAGTGCTGTCTGAAATGGTATGATAAAGATGACACTTGACGTCTAGGAGAGTGGGTTCAGCAGTAGGCAGTTGAAAAGTTGGGACTTTTAGTTTTTTGTTCCACATACCAGTAGGTCATTTGGAAGGGAGGACTTTTTTTCTTGGCTCCATATACCTTGTCATGGGTCAAACTATTCCATCCAAGGTGTGATTTTGAAAATGAGAATCAAAAATCCAATCTGCAATTGTGTAATAAAGCTGTTCTAAATTTTAGCGAGTGTGCTTTCTCTTGGGTGCACATGATACAGTGAAGATTCCTTTGTTTTGGTTCTTTCTTAGGAGGAAGTACAGGCAGTTCAGGACTTTGAAGCAAGGACAAAGGTAGATGAGTTTCCTGAGAAATACGAGACCATAGCAGAGAAGCTGTTGCAGAAGTGCCCTGAGGATTTGTCTTGTGTCACAAGAACCATCCAGCATTCTCCCCAGTTACCGGGCAACATTGCTGTCATTGTGCAGCTGTTACACAACATATCAATGGCGCTAATGGCAAATGTGAATGAGGCAAAGATGCAGGTAAGAGACCCTGCATGAGCTCATGGGGGGCTCTCCACCTGGGAAGGGAATTCTGAGTAGTTGGAGCATCTGGTGAGCTGGTTGGGAGCTGAAGACTGTTTTCTCACCTCATTGTTCCCAATGCCTACATAGCAAGTACTCAATAAACCTTTATCGAAGAAGAAACCAGTAAACAAAAGGAAAAAGCGAGCGCAGAGTACATATTTGGTACTGCAGTAGGCACCGGCTTGTGCTTTTATGTTTTAGCAACTGCAGTCCTTTAAGAAACACTGTAGGTCCTGCAGAGAGAAAGATGTCTCACTTTTATTTGTGAGTCTGAATAAGTGGCTGAGGTGACAACCAGCTGAAGGCAAGGCAAATCCGACCCCAGGAACTAGAGAGTACAGAATGGGACTGGATCCGCTTCTCATGTTTGTTTGTTTGTTTTGGTTGGTTGTGGGGCCTGAACTCTGGGCCTGGGCGCTGTCCCTCAGCTCTTCTGCTCAAGGCTAGCGCTCTACCACTTGAGCCACAGCACCACTTCCAGTTTTCTGAGGGGTTTATTGGAAATAATAGTCTCACGGCCTTTCCTGCCCTGGCTGGCTTTGAACCGTGATCCTCAGATCTCAGCCTCGGGTCTCAGAATTCCAGTTTCCTATGTTTCTGTACAGGGTCCTGCGAGGCATTTGGGATCTAACACAGTGGGCTCCATGACAGGGTAGGAAGTTGCTTGTTGTGCTTGCAGGGTGAAGGGCATGTGGCAATGGATTGAGCAGAAGCCTCCCGGGAAGGCACCCTACGAGAGGAGAGCCCAGGAGGGCACGTCCCCTGTGGCTTTATCCGCGTGCACAGCTGACTGGGCATGCCAGGCACCTGGGGAGCCAAGTAAAAGGCAGATTCTGATTTCTGAAGTCTCGGGTGGGGCCTGAGATGTTCTCAGGGAATTCCTCCTAGTCCAACTGCTGCTTGGAGAGTGCGTGTTGTAAACGTGGGGCTGGAATAGTTTGGAAGCTCCATTAGTGCTGAGCATGATTAATAACTGTCATTCTCATTGGCAGAGTTACAGCACCATGGCCAACCACATTCTTGACAGCAAAAGCATCTTGAACTGGACCTTCATTCCCGACAGAAATAGCAGCTCCATCCTGCTCCATTCAGTCAATTCCTTCGCAAGAAAGCTATTGCTCAACAAACATCCCATTGATGTAGTGCACGCCTTCATTCATACCACGGGTGCCATCCTCTCTGGACACCATGCTGGAAGGAATCTCAGCTTTTCAATGAGAGTTAATGACACCAGCAGGGAAGTCACAGGGAAGGTCTTGATCAGTAAAGAAGATCTTCAGAGAGTGCCTTCACCTTCTCAGATCATCAGCGTTGCGTTTCCAACTCTGGGGGCTATCTTGGAAGCCAGCCTATTGGAAAATGTCACCGTGAATGGGCTTGTCTTGTCTGTCATTTTGCCCCAGGAGCTGAAAAGGATCTCTCTGATTTTTGAGAAGATCAGCAGTTCGGAGGAACGGAAGACGCAGTGTGTTGGCTGGCATTCCTTGGAGAGCAGATGGGACCAGCAGGCCTGCGAAAGGATTCAAGAAAACTCCCAGCAAGTCATTTGCCGGTGTTGGCCAAACAAATTATTTACCTCTTTTTCTATTCTTATGTCACCTCACCCCTTAGAGAACCCAATTCTGATGTATATCACATACATCGGCCTGGGCATTTCGATTTGCAGCTTGGGCATTTGCCTGACCATTGAAGCCCTGGTCTGGACTCAAGTGACCAAGACAGAGATTTCTTATTTGCGCCACGTGTGCATTGCTAACATTGCAGCCACCTTGCTGATGGCCGATGTGTGGTTCATCGTGGCTTCTTTCCTCAGTGGTCCAATCAAACACCACGGCGGATGCGTGGCGGCAACGTTTTTCGTTCACTTCTTTTACCTTTCTGTGTTTTTCTGGATGCTGGCCAAAGCGCTCCTTATCCTCTATGGGATTTTGATCGTGTTCCATACATTGCCCAAGTCCGCCCTGGTGGCGTCTCTCTTTTCAGTGGGTTACGGCTGTCCTCTGGTCATTGCTGTCATCACAGTGGCTGTCACTGAGCCTGGCAACGGCTACCTACAGCTTCACGTCTGCTGGCTGAACTGGGACCTGACCAAGGCCCTCCTGGCCTTCGTGGTCCCGGCGCTGGCCATTGTGGTGGTAAACCTGGTCACCGTCATGCTGGTGATCATCAAGACCCAGAGAGTGGCCATGGGCAGTTCCATGTTCCAGGAAGTGAGAGCCGTCATGAGGATCAGCAAGAACATTGCCATCCTCACCCCACTCCTGGGCCTGACGTGGGGGTTCGGCATCGCCGTGGCCGTCGACGGGAGCTCCCTGGCCTTCCACATCGTCTTCTCCTTGCTTAACGCATTCCAGGTGAGTCTCAGTGCTCCGATGAAGTCCAAAATGAGAGACTATGTGAGGAGCTTGTGACGAGGAACCCATGCCCTCAGATTTCCCTGCAAGAGACAGCGAGAATGTTTTCATCCATCCTAATGGCTGCGTAGAATTCCATCATGTGTGTATTTACCACATTTAGGAAATCCATTCATCTGTGGTAGGGCATCTGGGCTGTTTCTGTAAGCTGACCATTGTGAACTGTGCTATAGTGAACATGGGTGTGCAGATACCTTTGTTAGATCTTGACATTCAGTCTCTCAGATAAACACCCAGGCCTGTATTGCTGGACCTGAGGGTAACTCTATGCTTATTTATGTATCTTTTTGAGAAATCTTCATACTGGTCTCCATACTGGTTGTGCTAGTTTATACCCCATTGATAGTATCTTAGGGTTACTTTTGCCCACGTACTTGGCAGTGTTTGTTGCTGGAAAAATGTGACATTATCTTAGCAGGAGGGAACAGACAGGATGAGGGAGAATAATGGAAGGGGTGCCTCCGATTAAGAAGCACTGGACAGTTAGATGCACATATTAAACCTAATCCCATTATACAGACTTCTGAAGTTCAGCATGATAAACAAATGACCAAAAACCTTTGCAGTTTTGTAGGCTGTTTAACACCAATAAATGCCAGAGCTTTATTGAAGCCTTTGCCCCCACCCCCCAAACAAACAATAAAATAAGCAGTGAGTGAGGAGGAAAGAAGTTCAAATTCCCAAAAGGCTCAGATTTCAATTCCGAGTGTCTCACTTACTGATAATGCATGGAGTTGGAGAACTTATTTAACATTTCAAGCATAGTTCCTTTATCCATAAAGTAGGTATTATGCTGCCCAGATTATTGAGATGTTTGGAAAATGGAGTAAAATGGTGAACTGGGAAGCAATAAGTACTAAAATAACCTGAAAGTTAAAAATGGCTTCCCAATAGGCAGAGTTGTTACTATTTAGAAATTAAGCAGTACATTTCCCTCCAAAAGTTAGGTTTCAGGCTGCAGGTATTAAATTTTGATGATTTACTTCTGGTCACTTAGAAGTTTTAGTTATAATTGAAGGTCATCTTACTTTCACAAGACAAACTGGACAGGGAGGTGTTGAGGCAGCTTCTTTCCCCCTTCGTCATGCATCATTAATGTTCAGTTTCATATCTATACTTGCAACACTTTTATGCTAATCCGACTATATGGTTGCACAATATAAGGGTTAAAAATGTATATGTATATAATTACACAACTTGGTTTCTCCCAGAAAAATACCTGGAATTTTACTGTTTACTATGTGTAAGTATATCTCTGTGATGTCTGCTTGCTATTCAATATTAATACTTTCCTTCATGATTAAAGTTTTGTTTTCCAGTATTTCTTTTCCTGCTACAGTATTGATGAAACAAGGTTTTCCTACATTTGATATCAAAAGTGTAGGTAGCCAATAATCGCAAAGAAAGCTTCTATTTTTGTAAAGTGCTCTAAAACATTTCCTCTTTTTTCCCCCCTGAGTATGTGCAGTGGCCAACAAGACTATTTTCAAGTAATTGATTATGGAGATTTTAGGCGCAGTATCTACTCACTTTTGATCTTTCAAATGTTAAATATAAATAATTTCATATTATAACAAACACTTTGATGTCTTGGAGAATAATGACAATAATAGGAGCTTTCTCACATTTTTTTTGGGAGGAGGGTCCGGTCATGGGGCCTGAACTCTGGGTCTGGGCACTGTCCCTCAGCTCTTCAGCTCAAGGCTAGTGCTTTACCATTTGAGCCAGTGCCACTTCCAGCTTTTTTCTTTTTGCTTATGTGGTGCCGAGGAATTGAACCCAGGGCCTCATGCATGCAAGGCAAGCGCTCTACCACTGAGCCACCTTCCCAGCCCCTCACATTTTTAATCTATGCTCTTTTGTATTTCTAAAGAAAAAAATGTATTGGTAGAGCTCTTAGTGATTGCCAAATTGTGTGTGTGTGTGTGTGTGTGTGTGTGTGTGTGTGTGTGTGTGTGCTGGTCCTGGGGCTTGAACTCAGGGTGCTGTCCCTAAGCTTTTTTGCTAGTTTAGTGTTCTACCACTTGAGCTCTACTTCCAGTAATTGCCAATTCTATATACATGGCTAGTCACTGATACAGCTGAGGCCCCAAACCAGTCTTTTCTAATTTACAGCTCAGCATACCCCAGGTCTGTTCTCCATAAGCCCTCAGTGAACTCTGACCTTATTCCGTAGCAGGCCCCCTTTTTTTTCTCCCTTGGGGCTGTGACTGGGCGGTGGCATTTTGTTCTGGAACGGGCTATGAACACTTGCATTTTGATATTTTGAGTACTTTCACCTGTCACAAAGGGATCAACTGGAAATTTCAACTCACTTTTTGTCTTGAGTCTTGGCGAGGAGCGAGGTGAGGCTGATTGAGGAACTGGTGCCATAGGACTGTGAGAAGCAGGGGCAAGCAGGGAGGCCTTGGACGGGCGCACTGGAGCTGGCTTGCTTCTTCAGTCATTTTGTTAACACAGTCATCGTGAAAATCAAATTACATGGACTTACAACAGAATAAATGAAAAACAAAGGCAAGCACCAGTTTCAGTTAGATTCTAATTTTGAATAGATCCCTAGTGCCCCAAACTAGCTGCATCTTGATAACAATGATATTTCACAATCTATCTAAAAAATAACTCTTGCTCAAATTGGTTATTTGTTGGGGTAGCTCAAATGGGAGAGATCCTGCCTTCAAAGCATCGAGGCCTTGAGTTCAATCCCCAGGACAGCCAAAGAATAAAGATCCTAACATGTTCCAGTATAAAGCAGGAACCTTGTTCTGTTTGTTTTCCTGAAGTATCTCAAGCGTCTGAAACAGAGCCTTGTACATGGAAGATGTTAAAGATTGTCACATGAATGACGTGAGCTGCTGTGACCTTCCAATGGGAAATTAAATATCGATTAAGACTGTTTTCTTCTTGCCCCCAATAGTAATGGCGTTTGCTATTGTTATCATCCTTTCCTAAATGGCTCTTCTTTTCTCTCCCATCTTTTACAGGGCTTCTTCATCCTGGTGTTTGGAACGATCCTGGACCCAAAGGTACCATATGTAAATTCTTCTCTCTTTTTCTGTACTTTCGGTACTTGCAGTGTCTGAGCTCTCTCTCCATTGTACCACAGTGCCTCCTGGCATTAGGAAAACGGCCCTTTCTGGTGTGGAAGGAAGAACTGTCAACTCAAATTACTCATTTTTTTCCTAGTCCTGGGGTCTGAACTCAGGGCTTAGACACTGTCCCTGAGCTGCTTTTGCTCAAGACTAGCACTCTACCACTTGAGTCGCAGTGTCACTTCCAGCTTTTTGGTGTGTATATGGTAATGGAGGAATTGAACCTAGGGCTTCATGCATGCTAGGCAAACACTCTACTGCTAATCCACAGTCCCAGCCTTCAAATTACTCAATTTTTATAAAAGATACAGTAACAATACAAAAATAAACACTCATCCTCACTACTAAGTGGTACTTTTTTTTAAAAAAAATCTATCAGTGTTATTAAGTCAATATCAAAGTTTGTGAAAGAGGAATTTCCCCCCATGGCCATTCCATTGTCTCCTGAGAATAATATGTCAACCTAGTGAAAATTATTCAGAGGTGAAAGAATAATAGTTTTGATATTTCTATCTACAGGTGGTCCTTAATTCACAAAAGTTCAAATTATGATAGTTTTGACTATGATGATACCAAGGCAATATGCATTATATATGCATTCGTTCAAATTTTGACCTTTTCCTGGGTTTGTAATGTACATTAGCATGCCTGCTGATTAGGCTGGGATGGGCAGCCAGCCCTGGTCCAGGAGCAGCCGTGCGACTGCAGTGTAAACAGCTAGTACCATGAGCCATGGTGCTCAGTAGATTAGGAATGTTAGGTGCAGTTCTGACTTAGGATATTTTCCACTTACAATGGGCTGCCATCCCAACATCAGTGGAAGAGCGTCTGCCTGGGCCTGGCACCACCTTTTTGGCGATTTCCATGTGAGTGAGTCCCAGATCCCTCAAGTGGAGCACAGGGATAAAAGATGTTTTCCTTGCCTCTACTGGATTGTGGCAGAGAACAAAGTCACCATCCTAGCTGAAAGCACACGGAGAGCCTGAAGATATCACACAATTATATACCACAGGACTGTGCTTTTGTCACTCATAATATGATAATTAAGTGTTAGCAGGCAAAGCAGTAGCATTATCACTTAGCATACCAGTGTAAGGTGCATGAAATGAGCAGAGGATCCAAAGCTATGGGTCTTTCTATCAGGGTGAAGCCTCTAATATTTTAAAATTAAACTCAAAAAATTGTCACAGGAGTATGCATGATGAATGGACAAAATGTTGTATATACTAAAGATACGTATATAACATATATCTTATATATATATATATATATGATATATATATATATATGATATATATATATATATATATTTGTGCCAATCCTGTTGCTTGAACTTGGGGCCTGGGTTGTGTCCTTGATCACAGCTCTATTTCCACCTTTTTGGTGATTAATTGGAGAGGAAAGTCTCATAGATTTTCTTACTGAGATGGTTTTGAACCATGATCCTTAGATCTGAACCTCCTGAGAATTAATTCTTAATTCCCTTTGTTTAATATCTAGATAAGAGCTGCTATTAAGGGTCGAGTAGCTTCTATGAACTGGAT